GAAGGCAGGGAGGTGAATGGAATTCCACCCTGTTGCTGGTTGATTTATGACCCAGCTGTGGTGTGAGGGCACTGGGGTGGGTGCCAGCACTGAGTGCAACCAAATCACAGATCCAGGACCCTGCTAGTTTGAAGCAGAGAGGCACCTGTTTCAGGTGCTGTCAGGGGACTCTGGCACCTGGCCCAACTTACCCCTGCCCCCCACCCCACCCCCCCACCCCGCCCAGGGAGGACTGGAAATGCCCAAGGGTGTTCAGGAAGGAGCATTGGGGGTGTTGTCCTGGTGGGCACCAGCCCCAGAAATCACTTGAAGCCCCGTCTCTCTAGCTCTTTGGGGATGGGTGGGGCTTCCGCTTTCAGCCTTAATACCTTCCCTGGGACCACTGATGAGTAGTGACCGGAAGCAGTGCCAGCAAATGGTCTCTGAGCGCTACCTGTTCAGGCATAGGACACGTGGGGGTGGAAGCCCTCTGCCCACCCTCCATCCTCTCCCTGCGCCCCTCCCGCATCAGCTGTGGTCTGGTTAGTCAGACAGCCCTGCTCTGCCCTGCCTCTTTGTCCCCCAAGTCACAAGAGTGACACCTGAACCTGCCTTGTCTCTTTCCCTGCCTGCACCCTGAGTGAGAAAGCAAAGAAGTGGTTACACTCAGCGTCTCACAAACAAGACACGCAGGCACCTCGAGGCCAGGATGCACCACCCTGGGCGGGCCTGGGGCCAAGCTCCTCAACGTGGTCACTTCCAATGGAAGTGAGCTGGTGACCCATTAGAGGGCTAGGCTAACTGTCCATGGGACCCACATCTCTCCCAGCGCCCAGCCTTCAGGAACCCTTAGAGGATTGCAGACCCATAGAGAGACGGAAGTGGACAGACAGACAGGACAGCAAGAGACAGACCCAGGGCCAGGGCCAGGCAGAGGCTCACCAAGTGGAGTGCGGAAGGTCCGGGGCTGGGCGGGCACTACGGCCAAGCAGCTCTAACGGGCCTCCTGGGGCGCCTGGGGCCCTTTTATCTGGCTGGGCCACGGGAGTCCCCCACCCAGCGGGCGCGGAGGAGGCCCCGCAGGCCCCGCCCCGAACAGCCTTGGACTAAGCAAGCGCCCCGCCCCGTGGCCCCTCAGCTTTGCTCCTTGCGCTCCCAGCCCGGATGCGGGCCAGGGTGGCGGGGTGCCAGGCGGCATGCCCGCGTCTGCCGCCCCACTGGGAAATCCCGGGGTCGTGAAGTTGCAGGGGGTGAGGAAGGAGGGGGAGCTGTTTTCTGTAAAGGAAACTGGCGCGCGGCTGCAGGAGGGAACTGTGGCTCAGCGCCAGCAGGCTGCAGCTGCCAGGAGTGTGCTGTGGCCTCGTGAGTCCCTAAGACGCAGCTTCCTATCCTTTGCAAACCGGGTGAGATAGGCTCCCCCTGTACTGCCCCCCACTTGGGGATTACATTCAGTAGGTTCTGAAGGGTGCCAACGGATCTTCACATGGGAGCGCCTACCTGTCAGGGTGCTTGGTTACTTAGGACAACCCTTTGGGGGTGTGGGCAGGGGGCTAGGGGTGGGGGTGAATTGCGGTTAGAGACAGGATTGTGGGGAGAGGCCGGGGAGGATTCTGTGGAGTAAGATGAAAGGAGGACAGGCTGAAAGAGGGGAGTCCCAGCAGCTTAGCTGAGCACCCAGGTGCCTGGGTGCCAGTTCCTTTCCTCCGACTTCTTGCCCACGTCTTGGTCCTTCCTGGTGCCTCAATGCCCCCATCTACAAAATGGGCAGAGAGTTTCCACCCTCCAGCGTCCTCCCTAGGTCCCCATCCGTACAGCCTGTTTTCCCCTCCCCCCCACCCCCCACCTTGCCTGAGTGTCATTCCAAAGGCTCATTCATTCAGCAAACCTTTATTGATTTTCTCCTATGTGCTAGATTGGGTGCTGGAGTGCTAGACACTGCAGGGGGGTGGGTGGGAAGAGGCCTTCCCAGTCTGGGCGGGGAGAGAGACATGTAAACAAACTGCCACAAGGCAGTGCGATAAGGGCTAGCATGGCAAGGTGATTCCCGACTGACAGTCAGGTCACACTGACCTGGCTGCCATAGGACTGCCACCCACCCCTGGCCATCCATGTCCCAGATGTCCCCCCAGTGCCCCTGCCCTGCCCCAGCTGGCCCAAAGCAATCCCAGCGATGAATCAACAGGAAAGAATGCTCCCAGACTTGGGTCAGTGGCAGCAGCAGCAGCAGCCCAGCCCCTCCCCCAGGGACAATGAGGCAACTGTGGGCTGTGGTACCAGGTATGCCTGGGCCCCCTCCCCATGCCCCAGCCACCTCTCATGCCCAGCCAGGAACAACACAGAGGGCTTGGAAACCGGGCCCCGCCTGCTGCCAATCACAAGCCTGGCCACCCAGAGCTAAAAATAGCCAGGAAGCCATGGGCAGCCCAGGCTAGAGCCCAGGGGATGAATGGATGTTGCCCGGAAGTCCTTTAACCTGCAAGATTCTGGGCAGAGACTCAGGCTGGGGAGCAGAAGGAGGGATTTCCCAGGGGTTCCTATGAGCCCCCCTCCTTGAGAAGTGAGGGGCTTGGGTCCCAGGCCCAGCCTCATGACTTACTAGTGGCTGGATTGTCTCAGCTGAGTAGCCACCCCCTCCCCCATGAATGATGTTGCTGGGGGGGTCAAGTGGGACGATTCAGTGCATCTCAAGAAGCTTTGGCTTGACCGAGCCGGCCCGCTGCCTGCTGTGCACACAACCTCAGCAGTGCAGACCCTCTGCTGCACTCGTGATATACAGGTCTGTGTCCTCCTGGACTCCGGGGGCCCTTTGAACTGTTTTATCTCGAAACCCAGATTCTGTCCCAGGGCCTGGCACATAGCAAGTGCTCAGTAAGTGCGAGTGGACTGAATCAATAGGCCTGCTTTGTGCCGCTCCTTGAGTCAGAACTGGAGAGGTGAAAACAAGCTAGATGAGATCCCTGTCCTCAAAGAACTTGCAGAGCAGTGGAGACAGGCTCGCAGTCCGCAGCAGACAAGGCATTGCTGACATCGTCATACCGACTTTCCCTTTGCTGGGAGCTGTTGCAGGCCCAGAGCTTTTGAGAGACGACTCAAAGACACAGCAGTGATAGGAAGTAGACTGCGATAACAGAAAGCGGGGCAAGGGGGGAGAAGAGGCCATTTCCACATAGGAGGGGCTTTTCCTTTGCTGAGAGCTGTGTAACCAGGTACAAGGCTTTTGCTCAGGGAGGCGGGAACTGAGGGGATTTTGAGAAGTCTTGGGGGCGGGAGTAAGAATGAAGAGGTAGATCTAGCAAAGCTGGAGGGGCTAGCCAAAGAGATGGTTCCTGGGGACAAAGGAGATGAGCTGGCTATCGTAAGGAGAGGGAATTGGGGGGAAGAACAGAGCTGATTAAATAGAAATTTTAGGAAGTTTTGCTTTGTGGTATGCAATGTCACCTTCCCCCATTCTTCTGAAAGCTTCAGAAAAATCTCCATTATTCAATAACGTTTGCAGCTGGACGGGCCCACTCCAACATTTGCAGGGCCTGGGTCTGAGCCAGAGGGGGCCTGATACCATGTGTCTAAGTATCTAAGAGTAAAAAATCAAACTAACTCATTGTCAAATAAAACATGATCTCCCCTCCTGCCTTGACAAGTACACCATTTGAAAGACCTGGAAGGCCAGGTTTGAATTCAGAACTTTCCACTTTTTGGAGTTCCGTGTGGAACATGTTACTCTGGGGAGTGTCTGTCCCTGGCCCTGAGCCCCATGTGGCCCACCCCCTCCCTCTCCCACCCTCTGCTCCATCCCACACAGCAAGGGGCCTTCTGCTGTGCCGGGAACACGCACACACCGGGCTCTGTTCAGACCTTCACAGCAGCTGCCCTTTGGTCTCCCCGAGCCTGGGTGCACAGTCTGCATTCAGGAAGAGGGGCTGGAAGCATGCTCTGGCCTCTCGGGCAAGAATTCATGGAGCCCAGGTTTGGAAAGGAGGTGCGGGTTCCAGTGGGCACGTCCGTCCCCTCGGCTCTGCGAACTCCGTGCTCTGTGAGGAGGGGCGCGATCGGACAAGGGCCACAGTGACGCCCTCTGAAGCATGGGGGGCCAGAGGAGGGACCTGTTGCCCAGGCCTAAGGACAGCTGTGGGGGGTGGAAGGCAGGAGGGGCAACAGGAAGGTAGGAGCGTGGCTTAGATGTGGTCCCTGGGGGTGAGGATGGGGTGCTGGGTCACTCAAGTTATGTTTAGAGAGCTGTGAGCCATTGAGCCCCAGAGCCAGGTGGCAGCTGCACCTAACCTTGGCAAACGGGGCAGGGGGTGGGGGGACACTGACGCTTTCAAGGAGGGTTAAACTTTGCTGGTGCTGTCTTGAGCTGGTATTTAACTCTTCACAGATTCGCACCTTTCATTGGGGTGGGGGGGGCCTGGAGAGAGGGGTGTTTTGGTTGGCGGACAGGCAGGGTCTTAATAACCTGTAAGCTGCTAAAAGGCAGAGAATCTGACTTAGATGCCCCTAGCCCCACTTCTGCCCATGGGATCCCTAGCAAAAAGGCCTGATATTCTCACAGATGTTTGGACATTCAGTTTGATTTGATACCAATAAATAGCTCAATGTTCATCTTGGCCCCATAGCTTCCCCCGCCCCAAAGATGCAGGCTCTTACCTCACTACCCCATTTCTCATCTTTACGGCTTCACCTGAAGATGGTCATCATCATCATCGCCATCATCATTCTCCCCATCATTATGTCCTCCCTCCCCCTCTAGACCCCACCCCACGCCCCACCCTCCCCTTTTCTCTCCCCACCTCAGCCATACACCCCTCTCTAAACTCTCCCCAATTCTCCAGTTCCCTTAAGAATATCTCCCCCTCCCCTTCTCTTTCTTCCCTCTCGATTCTACCTGCAAACCCCAAATTCCCCTGTCTCAGCAGGGCATAGCACTGAAATGCACTTCTGTTCAGGTAAATTAAAGCCATCAGTTCTGGGGGAAATGAGATGGAATGAAGACTCAGTGCCACAGCCCCGAAGCCCCGAAGGTCCCTGCGGAATTTCACACCAGTCTGACCGATCTTCTCATCCACCAGTAATTGAACCCCTTTTTCCTCAAGCGATACTGGACAAGTTAAATTAAAAAACATTTCTTATTCCATACTGTTCCTGGATCTTTTAACATGACGAATATAGTGACTGGCAGATAGGGCGTTAGTGGGCTTAGCTGGGGAACCTCACAGCCTGTACAATATCTCCTCTAGTCCCCTGAAGGCTACAGTGTTAGGAGCCACTCCTAGCCCCAGATCAACCGTTTGTGAATTATTTCTGGAATTAATTGAGGCAGTCAGGAAAATAGGAATTCAGGGACAGCGCTATTGATTAAAGAAAGGTACGTGTGACCTAAACACAGTTTTGTATTCTCTCGCATCTGAGTTTGTTGATCTACAGCTTTACAACATTTTAAAGTTTCTTTATGAGGAACTGGTTTGATCTCCCCAGCGAGGATATAAGATTATTCACGGCCGGGACTGACAGAAGGGTTCATTTTCATGTAACCAGCAATAGTGCGCAGCTTCCACTAACCAGGAGGGGGCAGCAAGGAGCTGCGTGGGTGGGAAAGTCCCTCGACCTGGCCTGCCAGGAAGCAAGACGGGGAGCCAGCTCATCAAAAGCCAAACCAAGAGTAGGGTGTAGGGTGCAGGGGAGAGAGACTCTTCCAGCAGCGCTCCAAGTGTGGCTCCGGAGGGGCATCACCTGGGAACCTGTTAGAAACGCCAGTTGTCAGGCCCCACCCCAGACCCACCCAATCAGAAACTCCAGGGGCGGGGCCCAGCATCTGTGCTTTAAGTCCTCCAGATAATTCTAATGCCTGCTAATGTTCAAGAACCACCTCTCTAGACTGCGCTCTTGGAAAATGTGTGTACTGACAGAATCTAGACCCCTGTGGATGCCTTGTTTCTTGGAGTCCCAGACCTACCTGGCATGCTCAGCCCTCTCGGGAGGCCTCTTGTATTAAGAGGAGCCTCCTCCACAACTGATGGGCTAAGTTTTTGGGGGTTGAAGTCTTCTACATCCCAGTT